ATTCCCGCGGATGAGGACATCACCAGGAAATAACCCCCTTCAATGTCATAGCTCTGAGCCAATCAGGGCGGTTCAGTGGTCATGGGGCCGTCTTGGAGGCGGAATGGAAAATGCGGATAATCCCGGAACACCTGGAACGTGATCCTTCCCATGTTCATTCCCGGCCGTGGCCAGAGACAGATGTGTGGAGGAGGAAACATGGGGGGGGAGGGGGACATGTCACCCACACGGCCAACACAAACATGTCATCATACAACCGACTGCAGAGACAGTCCAGTACTATCCCATAATAATCACTGGGCACGTCAGGTGATTTCTGATTGGTCACAGCAGGCTCCGCCCTCCCCGTGTCCTTCATTTTCCTTTATTAGATAAGTCTGATAAGGAAATCCTCCGCCCACCCAACCACTGGGGAGGAGCCTGCCTAACCAAGGGGAGGAGCCCACCCAACCACTGGGAGGAACCTGCCTAAACAAGGGGAGGAGGCCACCCAACCACTGGGGAGGAGCCTGCCTAACCAAGGGGAGGAGCCCACCCAAGCACTGGGAGGAGCCTGCCTAACCAAGGGGAGGAGGCCACCCAATCACTGGGAGGAACCTGCCTAACCAAGGGGAGGAGCCCACCCAACCACTGGGAGGAACCTGCCTAAACAAGGGGAGGAGGCCACCCAACCACTGGGGAGGAGCCTGCCTAACCAAGGGGAGGAGCCCACCCAACCACTGGGAGGAACCTGCCTAACCAAGGGGAGGAGGCCACCCAATCACTGGGAGGAACCTGCCTAACCAAGGGGAGGAGGGCACCCAACCACTGGGAGGAACCTGCCTAACCAAGGGGAGGAGCCCACCCAACCACTGGGATCGAGGACAGTCCCGGCCATCACACGTCCACCCTGAGGGGCGCCTACCTGTGGAGAACGAGGTGATTGTCGACGTTGTCACCGGCGGATAACCTTCCGGAGCCCCGCTGCCGATCTCACTGCTGCCGGGATCATCTGTAATGAGAGGAAATCCACCAATCAGGGGCCACAGAGGGAGGCAAACAATGC